TTGAAAACCCAGATAAAATTGAAAGAAGTAGGCAAAGCATTCAAGAACATAAGGCAAACGAAAAGTGGAGCAATAATTGTGGAAAGCTTCGACCAGAGTCCAGATGAGAAGTTAAAAAAAGCTGTAAGCACAATGACCAACATGAAAGTCAAAGAAAACATCAGGGCAAATCCCACTTTCATGATAACTGGCATAGAAAAGGGGGTATAGAAACAATATAAATTATGGTGAGAATTTCATACATCTGTCAAAACTGGTATTCCAACAATAAATTGACATGTTTTGATTGTTGATTTGAACCAATCAGATTGTAATTACGCGATAATTTGCACTAATGCAAATTATCAGATAATTGCATACTAACTGGTGCGAAAACTGGTGTTTTGACATTTTTTGACAAAAAATTTCATTAAATACAACTCGTGCAATGGAAATATATTTATAATTTTCGACAAATTTGCACTCATGCGTTTTTAACTGAAAAAGGCACTCATGCACTACGTGCACTCGTGCTCTAATCACAAACAAAGATCATAACACTTCAAACAAGATCTACACCATTTCAACCTCAATTTCGGAAAAAGTAACTTTTATTTAGGCAAATGTAAAGTCATTTTCGGAAAAAGTCAAATCAATTTCAGAAAAAGTTAAGTTAATTCCGGAAAAAGTAAATTCAAATTCAGAAAAAGTAAATTCAATTTCGGAACAAGTAAATTCAAATTCGGAAAAACTACATTCAATTAAGGAGAAACTTATGTTATTTTTTAGAATAATTCGAATTGATAAAAAGTAAATTAAGCAATGACTAAAAACTATATACCTCCGTCGAACCCGTATACCCGGACGGATTCAATTCCAATCAGTGTACTTTAATTAGGTTCTACATATATTGGTTCTACGTATATTATTTTGTAGGACTGATGATGCTCGTATGAGCGAAAACACGTCACTATTGAGAGAATAAAATAATAAACAATCTGTATGTAGACTTGGTAATTCTTTTCTTTCTTTTATTGTTCAAAAATCGGGTCTCTCAGAAATATGGACAAATTTTTTGACTCAATCAATTCGAATTAGTCTATAAAAATAACATTACTTTCTCAAATTCAAATTCATTTATTCCAGGTGTATAGTACAGTAAATTACATAGTATTTTTACCCTGCAAGAGACAAGAAGTCTGTGCACAGGCCCGGTACTTAAAACTAAAGATCCTTAAACTAAACTATTTTTACTAGTTAGGAACAATTAAAGTTTTGCATTCATTTTAATAATTTTTTTTTTCTGTAAATTTCTATTTATTCATACATATCAGGTAATTGAGAAATAAATTATTCATTGTAATTTTATAATATTCGATAGAAATTGAAGATTTATACATTTATGTTTTGTCTAATGAAAAAATGCTTTATGTTGCATTTGAAAGTTTTGTTGATTTTTTTTACATTCTTTAATTTTTTTTGCAATAAATTATACAGTCTTGTGGCACTTACTAATGATGATTTTTTACCTACTTCCAAATTAGTTTGTATACTAGGAATATTTCTATTTCTAGTATTTGTCTGTCTCTGTAAATATTTATTTTTTAGATATTCGTAATTTAAAATTAGTGTTTTATAGTAGTAATTTTGTTTTATATTTAATATCACATTTTCCCTATATGCTAAGTTTAAAGCTGAGCTTCGTACTTTAAAAATAATTTTTAATATCCTATTTTGTATATTCTGTACATAACCTATGACATTATTATAAGCGGACCCCCAGGAGACTATGCCGTATGTAGCAACAGATTCGAAGAGAGCGTAATATATTATTAACATAGTTTTAGAGTCCAACACATTTTTAAGATTTGCAAAAACGAAAATTAAGTATCTCAATCTCTTATTCAGTAATGATATGTGTTCTTTCCATTTCATGTTGTTGTCCACCACAACTCCTAAATACTTGTTGGTTTTAGTACTGTCCAAAGATCTGCAACTACACGCGGTACAATCCCCATCTTTTTCATGTATCACTACTTTAATACCATCTGGTACTTTATCATTATATGTACTAAATAATATATATTTAGTCTTTTCGACATTCAGAGATAATTTATTAAGCCTCAACCACGAAGCTACTGTATTAACGACTGTGTTGGCTTGATTTTCTAGATCTGACCAGCTTTCTGCCTGTAGCACTATGGCTGTGTCATCTGCATATGACAAAATTTGTGCACCAGTGTCCAGCTCCAGTAAGTCATTCAGATAAACAACAAAGAAAAAAGGTCCCGTCTCCGTAATTGAATATATTTTTTCCGAATTTGAATTTACTTTTTCCAAATTTCAATTTACTTTTTCCGAAATTAACTTTACTTTCCTGAAATTGATTCGACTTTTTCCGAAAATGACTTTACATTTTCCTGAATAAAAGTTACTTTTTCCGAAATTGAGGTTGAAATGGTGTATATCATACACCAGAATTTTCAATCATTAGGAAATGCCGTTGATGGAGTGAACGATTTGTCAAGAGGACATACGAACTGCAAATTTCTCTGCATTAGAGAGCACTGGAGCTAGGAGCTAGTTATTGTAAAGGAGTAGCTCGAGGAGCAGTGTATGTACATAAAAGTATCACCTATCAAATGCGAGAAAAAATAATAATAAACTGTCGATAATAAATGACTTTGGATGTGCTTCAATTGAGTGCATGGTGAATGGTTCCAAAATTATTATTATCTCGATGTACAGGCCGCCTAGTGGTAATATAAATAATTTCTTTAAAACCAGTTTGAACAAATGTTAAATAGTCTAGTAGGGGAAATTAAGAAAATTGTAATTGCTGGGCTGGCGACTTCAACATAGACATGCTAAAGAAAAGCAACAATAGAGACAATTTCATTTCATCACTACAATCCTTCTGAACCAGACAATTTTTGCAAATACGAGAATCACACAGACTTTAGAATCATGTATCGATAACATTTTTGTAAATTATGAGTACGTGGATGGTATGACTCTAGAAGATACCTACTCATATTTCTGATCACAATGCGCAGGAATTAACTTTTTATATTGGAAAACCTCAAAATAATACCTATTTTAAAGTACAAACGGTTTTTTACAGAATTTAATAATAAAAGCTTTTCAAAACTATTGAAGGAGCAGGATTAGGATTGAGTGAAAATATGTGAAATAGAGAAGAGCAACGTCAACCAGCAATGGTCTATATTTTTGAACACTTTCACGAATATCTTCAACCACTGTTTCCTTCTAAATAAATACAACAATATTCTGGTATCAGTAATCCCAGAATTCCCAGACATGTTAATAAATGTAAATACTAGTATATTAGATTGCAAAATACCAGAGAACAATCGGAATGGTTCAGATACCAACTAGTATGGTTAAAGTAGCAATTCCAATTATAAAAGAAACACTGTCTTATATTATAAACAATTTTCTTAGGTATGGTAACCAGATAAACTCAAAGTAGCGCTCATAATACCATTGCTGAAATAAAAAAGATCCCCAATTTCATGAAAATAACAGACCCTCGAACAGACCTGTTTGCTATCATCATTTCCAAAATTGTTTGAGTTGGGCATGTGTAAACAATTGTTGTACTTACTAAACGAATGTGATATCCTGAATACGAATTACCAATGTCCATGGATATATGCCGGGCCAATCCAAATAAAGTGCAATCTTCCAGTTTACAAAGAAAAAATTGAGCTTAATGGAGGAAGGTATTTTTGCCATTGACAGGACAGTTTGAATTTGTCTAAGGCATGTGACTGTGTGAATCTAGACTCAATTTAGGCCAAACTGGAGAGGCACACTGTCAGAGGAAATGCACTGAATCTCTTTAAATCATATGTCACAGGTAGAATTCAGAGAGTTCAGGTTATAAAAAATGGACAAACATATTATTTTTCAAATCCCATCGAAAATAAAATTGGAATTGTGGTATTATCTATTCACAATCCGATGTCCAAAGGTACAGGTAAAATGTATCACCTTTCAATGCTATTTGATAGGGAAAGGTGATAAATTTACCTGTACCTTTGGACTACAGATTGTGAATAGGATATAGTATAGCTGGATCCATTTGGTTTGTAATATCTTTAAATGTCCTGTATTCCATAACAAATCACACAAGCGGGCACATTACATGCTATGCAGATGATACCAATCTAATTACTGGCGCAAAAATATGACAGAACTCATGTCAGAAGGATTATCTTTGTATTGAGGACTAATCATTCGATTTTCAAAAAAATACGCAGTGTGACGAGAATCAAAACACCTTCAAAACAAAGTACCACTCGACCTATCTTCCCTATCTTAAAAAGAGGGGTAAAAGTCAGGGGGTGCACCCTAGTGAAATACCCATTGTTTCGATGTTCGTGAAACACACTGTATACAGAATTACTTGCAAAAGCTCAACTCGATTTGTTATGGAATTAGGGTTGTGGGCACTGCATTTATTTTCCTATCTTCTTTTAGTAAAATAATCCTGAATCCAATTTATGACAACCCAATCAAAATCCAAATACCTCAATTTCAAAACTAGTTTATCCGTATCAACCGTTTCAAGAACACGTTTGAGATCAAGAAAGTTTCCCCATTGTTGTTTATTGATTGTTTCCAATCAATAACAAATATACTGACTTGCACTTTCACAATTGTGATTCTTTCCAAATCCTGACTGAAAGCCACACAATAAGCCATTTTCAGCCACAGTTCAACATTTGCAAGTAAACAGTTCTTTCTAATATTTTTTCAAATGCACAAAGCATTATTTATAATTCTTAACTCCTGCGACATGACATTTTTAGCCACATTTCTTATTGGTACTATTATTTAAACTTCAGAGCATCAGGTATCTTTCCATGCAATAATGAACTGCATATTAGTTTTGAATGTTGTCAAAACTATTTTTGATAATTCATCAAAAAATAGCTAAAACATTGTTGGCTCTAAGCTGTTTAAGTAATAAAATAATGTTTCTTAAATTTTAGTTAATGGCATAACCCCAGCTAGTAGCTCATCAACCTCGAGAAGAAATTCTGTAGGTTCAACCCTCAAATGCGACAATGTAACTAAATATCCTGACAGAAAACAAATAGAGGATAAACTAAGTCAGATAAGAGAGTATCTAGAAGTCACCAGTTCCCTGATGACTAGCATTCGGAATTCCGATGAACAGGTAAGAATTTTTGAATTTCTTATATAATTGCAATGTAGGGGAAATTTTTTTGAACTTAATGCAGATTTTCAATATCGATGAGAAAACAAATCTACTCCAAACAAGAAACGATTTGTTGGACAGCGAAAAAAAGTTGTTAAACCTTTTGGAAGAACTTGATAATAATCAAAAAGTAGACATTGAAACTGAACAGGTGATTTTTCTGTTTTACAAATGTTGACCTAACATGTTTGTATTATACACCTTATTAACCTTATAGGATTTTTTGTTTTTTTGCATGTTTTTTTTTTAATTTATTTATGAGCTGTTTAATTATCTATAAGTAGTAGAGTGCAATTATTAGGGACTTAACTTTAGTCGAAACCTATTTATACCAAATAGATTTGCTTGATTTGTTTTTGTTGACTAGTAAGAAGTTGGGTAAAAAGTTCACCCAAGGAATGAAGGGTTGCAAATATCAGAAAACTCAATAAAATTGAAGACTTTTTTAGGTCCCTGCCCAAAGATGGTAGTGGAACCACATCTAGTGCTTGTCCTAATTGAAAATTTCACTCTGCCGCTAAAAGTATGAATAGATAATAATTATTGTCCATAGCACAAATTTGCTATTATACCTGTTTATATTTCTGAGCCCTAAACGTTTATTCCAGAGTCTCAGTAACGTGGACAATTATTCAGATCATAGCGGAGATTATATAAAAAACACTGAGTCCGATTTTAACAGTTACGACAATGAATTAACTGCAATGAGAGATCAGCAATTGTCTTTGTTAAAATTGCGTCAAAAATCTGAAAATAGATTAATGGACGCCAGACATGTTCAAGAAAAAATGGCAGTAGCCAGCCAATGTAAGTCTTGACATATTTTGGATATTTTTTCCCTAAAAACAAGAATTTAGTAGGTAGTAACCAAATGAATTTGGACCCTCAAAAATGCAACAAAAATACATCGTTGATGGAATTTGATAGTGCCATTAGAGAATTAGAAGAAAGGACCAAGAGACTTAACAGAAATAAGCCTCCCAATGAAAATTACCATGCTGATAAAATTATGTCGGACATGCATCATTTGCAAAGTCAAATTGTCGGAATGCATGAAGCCAACAATGAAAGAGAGCAACTTATCGAAGTAATATTTTTACTAATAGTTATTGAATTTCAATAATAATTATACTTTCATATTAGGTATTGGATAACACAGATACTGAGCTACGTTCGCAACAAGCTCAATTAAAAAAGAAATTGTTGGAGTTGCAAAATAAAAAAGACCAAGTTGATCAGCTCGTAATGCAACTTCAATGTATGGACGAAGATAATCAAAGTGATGTCGGAATGCAAGTTAGAAATATGGTCACGATGAAGGATCAGCTCAATAAATTAAAAGGTATGCTGGAAATTGTGAATAATACTGGTGAACATGCTTCACCAGCCGAAGTACAGGCAGCTGCTAATGAAATTTGTCTCACAGCCGAAAATTTACAAAATGAAATTGCTAAACCTGGTCATAAGAGAAATGATAGTTATGTGGAGAATAGGTAAGTTCTAATTCGTTATTTATACATTCTTACATGCAAAATTTTAGATTGGACAATCACGTTTCTAACGACACTTATCAAAAGCAATTGAATAAAGCGCAAAGGAACCAAGGAGCTAAACCCAAACAGAGGAGTAGCAGTATTAATGATAAATTGGCACTACAATCAGAATTGGAAGCTAAAAAGAGAGAGTTAGAGGAAATTATGGGGAAACATAAAGGTAAAAGATTGTTTATGTAAAAAAATTGTTATCTGAATTTCTTGTGTTAGCTGCCACATCGAATCTTAACCATGACGTAAGAGGAAACCTTTCTAACGATATATCATGGAAACCACCCATTTTATGTCAGGATCAAGATAGTGATGATAGATTATCAAGGTAAGAATATTTTTGTTTACAGCCAACAAGTTTCACTCTTCTAATAAACTTTACAGTGATGCAGATGAGAACGAATATTCAGAAGTTCAAGATACTGAAAATATGATCTTCCCGCAACAAATCAACTGCTACTATGACGACAATAGATCCAAACGTAGTTTGGGCAATAATAGACCAGTTCCAGATATTACTCCTTTAGAGCCAAATCCAGGAGCTGAAATTCGCGACACTATGCGACATGCTAGAGTACGAGCAAATAATCAGGATCAGGAGAAACAGGACAAGGTACTGATTGTATATGTTGGCAATACTGTGCCTTTAATGGATACTTTTTAGCTTCAAAAACAACTAGAACTTATAAAAACGGTCTGCGACTCCGTCCTGGAGCAAATGCCAACAAACAACCAAACATCATCCAATAATATTCAACAAGTACGAAACAACATCACTCCCTCTTCAGGCTACTCTGAACAGCAACGAGTTTCTTGTCCCGCCAGCCCTTTTCGGCCCAATCAGCAACAAGTCAACGTTTTTCATCCCCAATCTGATGCTACACCTTGGCAACCTGCGGGACAAAATCACGCCAACGATACCGGCAACTACCAAAACTGGTTGTCAACCAACACATTGCAAACGCAGTCGTTTATGTTGAATACTTTGAATCAGTGTTGTCAAATGTTGTGGCTCCAGCAAAGGGAAATGAATCAGCTTAGAAATACTGTAAATGTGGTGAGTAATTCAGATTTCAATGTTAACTGGTGGAAGAGGAATCAAGACTTTTATTATTGCAGACACTCAAAAGGTGTTTCTATCCTCTCTAGGGCTAAAATAAATTGATTCAATATTGATTTAAAAAAAAATGTTTCAATGAAAATTTGTTGCAGCTACAAGAACGTTTAGACTTGCAGCCGTATCAGCAACAACAGCCACAACCAGGAACTTTACCCTCCAACCCCATCTACAATCAACCCTCTACCCAAAACAATCACCTCCGTGTCCCTCCGCCTGTCCCTCAAAAAACTAACCAAGTGTCTGCAGCTTGTTCAATGCCCAATCTTAACCAATATAACCCTGTGACAGCCAATAGCGACTTGGCTTTCGTTAATACTAGCAACGTTGTGCCTAACAGTGCCCTGTTAGAGTCTTGTCTCAACAACGTGAGCCACCTGAATTCGACACAGGCGTGTGATAATGTTAACAATTTGCTGCATGCAGTGAATTCTAACCTGAACCAGGCGATACCAGCTCAGATTTGGAACGGACAAGCGCTGAACAATCAAGTGGCGCCTGGTAACAGGGCTAACAACTACTGGGATAACTTTAGAAGGTAATCATAATCAATATTAACCCCTCAGTATTTTATTTGTTGTGTGATTTTTTTTTGGTTTGTTTATAAAATGTTAATTGTTTTTTGTATAATATAAAATTCCTTGTTTCCTAATTTATCCTTTATATGAAGCAGTTTCAACTACTGTAACTTCTGATTCATTTAGGTAAGTTTCACAGATGAGTGTAAAACCATTCTTACAGGATTCTTCCTGGATAACGAATCAAGCCCAGATTTATTTTTTTAGGCAGAAACATTTTGCTGCTATTGTCAACTTTTCAATTCAACCCCTGAAATGTTCACAACAAATTTCTCGTTGGCTCATCTTTTCGTTTTTTAAAGAGTTAACTTATGGATGAACTGCAAATAAAAGTTGTATTGAAAACCAAATCAAAAATAGGGCAACTTGAAATTGGTTTGCTTCCTTATTCAAAGGCTATCCTGCTTCCTGCATCATCTTCCTTCACCCCCAATAACATAAAATTCTCAAGTTCAAGAAACAAAATACTTCTTCCACAGAATTATTATAATTCCAAAGCTGAACCAACAATCCTCGAACAAAAACTAGCAAATTTTTTGGGCTTTTAGCTATTCCCGACAAAACCAGTTGTCCTCAAAAAACAGCGATAGCAGCATTCCTAACGCAGCTTCTGGCTTAGAACGCTTCCATTTAGACAGAGTGAATCCATTCCCCGTAACGTCCACTTCAAAAAGTAATTCAGAACATTCTTCTATCAATTCGCGAGAAAATACTCCTAGAAAAAGAAGTTTTAAAGGTAACAATTATTCATATTGTATTTAGATTAGATTTAGAGATAAATACAATCTTTAAAAATGCAATATTTAGGTGCAAGGATTGTGGAAAGTGTCAAACCAACTACAGATCATCATGCTCCTCCTCCGGACGTATTAAATGTTAATCAAAATGTACACAAAACTACTTTTGAGCAAGTAGAAATGCCTCCTGCTTCTGAACCAGGATCCACGGTGAGCTTAAAAGATCTCGAATTGGATTTTAGTAGATTATCGAATGACGAAGTTAGAATCCATCAACAAGACAGACAAAGAAGAAATGAGATTCGTGATCAAAGACCAAAGAAGTAAGTTTTTATTTCTGTTTGGGTCTTACTAAGATTTTGATTTTAGAAATAAATTGGTAGAAGAATTAAGACAAAATGTCTATAAAGAAGTGGCGTCTTTAATATCAGCTAACGAAGCCAGGCCTCATTTTCTGATCCAGTTATTCAAAGATCTGCAAAAAATCGAATCCGACTCTTTGAGATTCGAAATTTTACAATCCGTCCAGAATATTTTGACTCAGTCCATGCATTGTGTTCCTAATCCAACTGTTGCCGCTTCAAGACAGGTAAAAAAATGTATAATATCCATCCGAGTTGTTCAGTCAAAATTTCTATTTGTTTTTGTTTTAAATATTGGAAACTTTATTATAATTTAATTTTAGTTGACGGAGTCTGACTCCACCTTATCGGAATCGTCTGAACAAGCCTCCTTTTCCATTTGGTCAAAACCTACCAAGCAATTTTCTTCAGAAATTTTAAATATGCGCTTGGTATGTTCATTTAAACAACATCCTTAGTTTCTTTAGATATTTAATTTTTTTGCACGTAGATTTCAATTTTGGAAAGGTTTCAAAATCCCTCGTAAAGAGATGTAGGCTAGTAGGTTTACTTTATAGGATCTTAATCTAAAAATTAGAGCAAAACCAATTTAGAGCCCAGTTTGAATTATGGTCAAAGATAAAAATCAGTTTTAGGATCATTATTATTGCAGATTGCAAAATTCTCTGTATAAAATGTAAAATACTAGTGTATCAAAAGGATTCATGGCCTTTTCTGTATTTGGCTTTTGTTGATATTGAACACCGCAGTTATTGTTGAATGCGATTTCGGTCTTCGCTGTACTTCTTCAAAATATCAATTTTTATATTTCCAGAGAAAACTTGAAAACTTATATTATATTCTCCTACCACTCCTACCAGCATCAATAAATGTCGCTATTTGTTTTTATTCTGTTTTGATTATTCTGATCCTATAAAGCATAAAGAGGCTATACTTATTTTGATATATTTTCGATCCAAATTAGATGCATGTTTTAGGTACTGTAATTGCAACAAATTTTCTATTTATTTAAATTTTTTTGTTTTAGGAGGGTGACGAGCCCTTTCTTCAAAATTCCTATAAAGAAATAGTGGCCCTTTTAGAAGCCAATGAAGACGAAACTATAGGCAGTCACCTTTTAGCTAACATCAGACAAGTATTTGTTGACAGTGAACTTTTCAAAGATTCAGTTAAAGACACTGTATTCTTAAAACATTTTTCTAATGTGTTAAATGACGTATTGGAACAATATCGTGGAAAAAAGTGAGTGTTGATTGTTGATTCGAAATATTTCTAAATAAAAACACAATACATTTTAGGGTGCACGATGTCAAGATTCATTTAATACAAACCATAGGAGATTTATTACAAGGAGAATTGTCGTTTATTCATCTCATACAAGAAACTATTCCAGAAGGTTGTATGCCCCAAGAACAAAAAGATTCTGTACTGTCTAATGTAGCTTTCAATGTGGCAAGCTCATTATTTGATATTCCTAACAATCAAGGTACTTATTTGTATAAAAAAAAATCTGTGTTTCAAAAAATAAATTATTTTCAGGCCCTTGTGATAATATCCAAAATGATGATCTAACAGAAGCCGATCAAGATCAAGGCAGACTTAATGAAAGTGAACTCGAAGAGGAAGGAGCCGTTGGAGGTATTATTGAAGTGATTGAAGAAAACTTACATATTTTATCACAGGTCAAATTGCAAAAAAAAATACATAAAACATGATTATAACAGTTAATTTCAGGATCCAGAAGACATGTTGAGTGTTCCAATTATAGAATTTCCTACAAATGGAGATGGCCTTGACCAAGTTCCGATAAGACTTCCTACTAAAATTAAATCCGGTGCTACAACTCCTACAAAAGGTAATTTTTTAGCAGCTTAAATGTAACTTTTAAGAGGAAATAAATCAGTTTGAGGATGTTTTCTGGTGATATTGTCAAGATATTTCAGATATGATTGAATTTTTGTTGACAATCCAAATCCAAAGAATTTTGTATTGGCTCTCACCGAACTAGTAATGTGATAGAAATGTAGAATAGAATATAAACAAAAAGTACAGGGTGTTCGAGTGTTCCAACAAGGACCGAACAGGCGCTTATTTTTGACCATCTCTCTATTTTTGAGAAAATCCAAAATAGCCAATTGGATTTTTTTTCTGGAGAATTTGAAAGTGGTACCAAAAAATCATTTGAACTAAAAATCAGGCTGTTTCATTTAAGGGGATTGAATGCGCCTCGATGCCAAAATATTTTTTCCTGCGCGAAGCACCTAACGCAGTCTATCATTGTATTCTTCCCCCCCTATTAATACTCCTTAGTGGGAATGAGATGAATGAAACAAGGAATGCATTGCGTTCTTAGTTTCAACGTAACTTTTTAGCAGTTGAAGTTAAATCAAATTTCTTTTTTGCATTCGATTTATAATATAGGGAAGAATGGCGCTATCTTTTTAGAAATCCGGTAATAGAAACGAGTTCTCGAAAAATTACAAAAATGTAATTTAAACTGGAAAAAAACGAGAAAATTAATCAGTTTATGGTGTCTTTTTTATTTAGCGCCAATCTTATGTGTGTTAGCAATACAATAGCACAAACCAGAATCCCAAAAATCATCTAGTTTTTTTGTAAAAATTTACTTAATTCTTCTTGTCATTTTGCCTGTCTCTGTTATACCCGCAGCAAACCCTATGGCTCTTTCCTCCGCCTGATTCGCGATAAATTTTAAATCGCTATCATGAAGGATCCAAGGCCAACCGGCCCAACAGTAGCCCAATGTAATAATCGCATCTTTATTAGCATTAACTTGTTGGGCGTCGTATAGTTCGACGTGCGTTACAATATATTTTAAACGGCGCATTCAATACCCTTAAAGAACTGTTCATCCATGGCTTAACTCTTTGGTTTTATATAATAATAATCAATTTTGATTTGATTTTTACCAGTCAGTCAAAATAGTATATTATAATAAGTGTGGTAACTAGGTTTTCCTACGAGCGTGCGGAAAAAGCTCTTTTTCCGCACGCATGGGCCTGCGGAAAGAGTACTTTTTCCGCACTAGTGTGGAAAATTTTTTCCGCACGCCGTCGTGTCCTGAATGAAGAAATACCTATATGATATGCAAACAATGGTGAATGTACAATTTTCAGCAGATCATAAATTTAGCCAAAGCAGATTCTATTGAATCTTCAAAAAAAAAAAAAACAATCAAAGATTACTATGGTTTTTTGAACGTACGTCGCATTATTGTTCCTTTATTGGTCAGGATTTTTGACATGACATTTTGACATCAAAGTTCATTGACAAAATAAAGAAAAAAAATTGCTAAGACATACGTTTTAAAAACCATAGCAATCTTCGATTTGTTTTTTTTTTTCTTGTGAAGACCCGTTATCTTAGAAGTAATCACTAATGGCGTTTCCGATTGGTAGGTCTAGTGCGGAACTAGTGCAATTTTTTCTATTTCTGTCATTTTCTTCTACAAGTCGATTAAAAGGATGCAAATACACTCAGTGCGCACTGAATTTACTAATCGGAAACGCCATAAAAGTAGACAGTAGAAACTTTGGGGAGGAATCTGATGGTCAATACCATCATCATGTGCTTAATCGTCAGTGTGCATCAGCGATAAATTTACAATCTGCTGAAAATTGTACATTCACCATTGAAGTTGTCAATAAAAAATGTTGTTAATTGCTCAGTATAGATTCATATTTGTTTATTATTGTCTGCTCGTAGGAAAAATTGTGTTCCTAACACTTGCGGAAAGTAATTTTTCCGCACTTGTTAGGAAAATAAGTATATTACTGCACGCGAGAGAAATTTGCTCTAAGGGCGGTAATAACATAACCATACGTATTGTCACGGCTCTGGAGTGCGTGACAAAAATCTTGGGTTCGTTTTTTCCAAAGTCCAATTAACACATTAATAATTTATTTCACGTTACTATACACCCTGACACTAATTACTTTACTAAGTAACTCAAACAACTAAACTCTTTACAACTCTCAACAATAATTAGTATCTAAATCATATCACAGTCAATCTTAACCTCAAAATTACTAATATAGCTAATACTAATAAAATCCGCGGACTTAAACCAGAAAGTCCCTGATCTCCAAAATTCCTCTCAGGATGTGTCCACCCATTGTACCTATCCTTTAAAACAACTTTACTTTAGTTTGGTTGAGGTCAGTAGGGGAAAAATAAGAATCAGATATAAAAACAATGATTATAAATCTATTTAATATGTTGTAAGGCGAGGGGGGAGAGTACGTTTAGATTCGCAATTGCGTTTCAGTCCAAAGGCCAATAGAATATTATAATACCATAGTATACAATTAATAAATGTAATTGTCAAAATTACCAAAAAGCAGCAAGGACCATAATTATTTGTATTGGTCTTACAAAAGACACTCCAATAAATTCAAGATTTGCCAATGTTTGACCGCCTTAATCCAATGAAAATAAAAGAGACTAATAATTAACAGACTAATATTAATTAAAACCTGTGCACGCTTATACCATGGTGTACCGATACCAGGGCGGGTTTGTACAAAAATTTCACCTTACTTAACCTTCCATTAGTCGCGCGTGTATCTGAAAGATACATTCCTATTATTTTTGCAAATAAATCAAAAAGGAAAAACCCTATAATATTATGGCTTGTTGTAGTCCTTAGGTACCCTATAATAATTACTTTCCCAATACCTCTAGTTGGAAATTTGGAATTTCCAAAAAACTAGGGGTACAACGCGACTTTTCTTGTTACCATCGGTGCTCTTCAATTGTAACTATTTTTTTGGTATTTTTTTTATATACATATTATGGTACAAGAGGCTGTTCATCTAAGGTGAAGATGGAACTCGATGACACAAAATTCCTCCCAAGCTGACAAGGAAGAGACCACATAATAGTATGGTAAAGCTGCCAGGCGTGGTTGGCCAAACTACAACGACTGCGAAAACAGAATCCAACTTCTGGAATCTTTTTTTCAGCAAAAAATTATCATTGAGTACACGAATAAATACATAGAAATTGTAAAACCGAAATTCATCAGATGGTTCAATTTTTTTATCAATGATTTAGTACATGTATCTCTGTTCTGTGATACAGCGTGACTAATGATGTTATAAAAACTCGCGCGCCTAATGAAGGGTTAAATATGGTAAATTAGTTGAATATACGAAATAATATTAATACTGAATACTGAACATTAAAAAGTTAACGGGTACATCACCCCTTTGTGGTCCTCCCTGCAGTCTAAACATTCATTACTGTGTCATGATGCCCTGATAACTGACAACCATAGGACAACCCATCAACTTCTTGACTTTCGTTCTTACTAAAGGTAAGTTTCGATTTCAGTGTTATGGGTACTCTAACACCTCACCTTCGAGACGTTAGCAAAACGGCGAAAGGGAAAAACCGAATGGGAAAATAAAACCCTAAAAGAGTACAAAATCTTAGAACTTAGAACCTCTTTATATAGTCTAGGAGGCAGTGACGATTTTCGGTACTTATTTTCCTAGTCAGAAAACATGGATAGAATTGTAGGGTTATAATTCTAAGCAAAATTCATATATTTTAAGGGGGGGTTTTCCATGGATTGAGGTGCAACATGCATAAGAGCTCACGAATGCACGGCCCTTTTTTTTACGTTTAAATTTACCTGGTTACTCTTGGGGCTTTTAGTTGAACAAAACGTGCTCGTTCCTCGCAACGACAACTCAACAAAATTTTGTAGATTTTCGTTTCCAATAATACTGAATGGTTGGCTTACAAATACGGGGACTTACGACCAAATCCAAGTTTTCACCCCAAAACCAATTAGGCCAGCTACCACTTGAGTTCCCAACGGCTCTAAAATCCCACAAAGGGTGGATCTTCCTAAGAACGCAGCAAAAGAGGAACGCCGTTAAAATCTGCCGAAGCTTGTTGTTTGCTCAACGTGCGAAAATTTGAAAAGAACGACCTTGATCGGGAGTTAGACGGATATGCAAAATGTGAGGACCGGCAAAAATGCTCAAATTCGTATTCCTGTGATCCTAAGCAGTGGGAAAGTACATCTTGCCTAAAGCTGGAGTGGTCCCTAACTCTCCTGCCATCCCCAATGCAAAATATCACAATTTCAAGTCATTTCACAATAATTCCTGTTGATTGTACCTTTCCCTATTCCTGTAGTTTTGAAAAAATTCAAAATAGCCAATTGGCATATTTTTTTCTGGAGAATTCAAAAATGGTACCAAAAAATCATTTGAACTAAAAACCAAAGAGTTACGCCAAATGGAACACCCTGTTTATTATATAATTTCTGGAAAAGTCGCATTTTTAACGTCTATTCCTTTGAAAATATTTGAAATTCTGATAGCTATTTTTATTTTCTTTCAATGTTTTATCCTTAATAATTCTAGCTTCACCTGTTCAATACATATGCATGTGAAGGCGACAAAATACAAAATATGTCAAATTTCTTTTGACTTTGAACAAAAGGGTGATTATACCTCTTATCACCTATGAACCTATTAAATTGAAAAGGAAAATCTAAAATTATTAAGCATAAAACATTAAAATAAAATAAAAACAGCGGAATATCAAATATTTTCAGAATAGACGTAAAAAATGCGACTTTTCCAAAAATCATACAAAAACAGGTTGTTTCATTTAAAAAACTGTTCACCCATGGCGTAACTCTTTGGTTTTTGCTTGAGAACAAAGCCTTAGGTTAGGTACAATCAATAGGAATTATTGTGAAATGACTTGAAATTGTGATATTTTGTATTGGGGGATGGCAGGAGAGTTAGGGACCACTCCAGCTGTAGGAAAAATGTACTTTCCCATTCCTTAGGATCACAGGAAAACGAATTTGAGCATTTTTGCCGGTCCTCACATTTTGCATATTCATATCCGTCTAACTCCCGGTCTAGGTCGTTCTATTTAAATTTCCGCACGTTGAGCAAACATAAGCTTCGGCAGATTTTACCGGCGGTCCTCTTTTGCTGCGTTCTTAGAAACATCCACCTTTTGTGGGATTTTAGAACCGTTGGGAACTCAAGTGGTAGCTGGCTTAATTGGGTTTGGGGTGAAAAGTTGGATTTGGTCCCCATATTTGTAAGCCAACCATTCCATTCAGTATTATCTGGAGAAGAAAATCTACGCCATTTTGTTGAGTTGTCATTGCGGGGAACGAGCACGTTTTGTTCAACTAAATCACGAAGTATAATCAGGTGAATTTAAACGTTTTTATCAATTTGAACCGAATTTGAATTTACCTTTTTGTTATAAGTATTTATTTTATCAGTATTTTGTACATATTTGGGATTTAAAAAAAAAAAGAATTTGTCCTCCAAGAGGGGCAATTTTGTCAGGGAAAAACTCACTATTCACCTTGAAAAGGGAGATTAATGGGCTTATCAATTGAGGGGAATTATTTTCAAAAAGGCAACTAGAGCTATTTTTATCACTGCGCCTCAACCCATCGGAAAACCCCCCCTAAAAATATATGAATTTTGCTTAAAATTACTAAGCCACATTTCTATCCATGTTTTCTCTGGGAAAATAAGTACTGAAAATCGTCACTGCCTCCTAGACTATATAAAGGGGTTCTATCTAAGTTCTAAGACTTTGTACTCTCATTGGGTTTTTCTCTTTCGAGGTTTTTTTTTCGACATAAAATCCAGAATAAATGCGATAGCCTTTTTTCCCGTTTAGCACTGTAAAATCTAGAATCAGCTGTCCAATTCTGTAGGCCGTGGCGCTTCCGCCAGATTTTCGCGACAGTATTTTGATGCCGTGTATCGAACAAGAACAGGTAAAGCTAAAATTATTAAGCATAAAACATTTAAAAAAAAATGAAAACAGCTATCCCAATATCAAATATTTTCAACAGATAAGACGTAAAAAATGCGATAAAAAATGTGACCGTTCCAAAAATCAAACAAAAACCAGTGTGTTCCATTTAAAAAACAGTTCACCCATGGCGTAACTCTTTGGTTTTTGGTTCAAATGATATTTTAGTACCATTTTTGACTTCTCCAGAAAAAAATATTCTAATTGACTATTTTGATTTTTTTCAAAAATACTCGGAAGGTCAAGAACAAGCCCCTGGTCAGTCCACTTTCAATAGTAATTATTGTCCTTAACATATTATTCTTTTCAGATTTAAATCCTCATCACGATTCCGAGTCCTACTGAGAAAGGTTGTTTCAAATGAAATTAAATATATTTCGCTTGCTCTATCTAAATGACTGCAATTAATTTATTATATAATAAATGGTGAGTGAGAAGCCAAGATGCTGTGTATATATTTTTTTAAATTATATTATCTGTTAAATTATTATTTTAAAATGTTTAGCTGCTTATTGAGTCTCATTATATTCCACTATTAACCTAAAATAAAAAAGGTGTATGTTTAAAAATAAAAACTGAACAGTATTTAAGAAAATGTAGTTTTATTTTAATTAAGTATAAAAGTCGTAATGTTAATTAATTAATCAAAATCAAAAAACTATTTAATGAGAAGGCACTTTTGAGCAAATTTTTGTCAGTTTACATAATAGTAAGCTACTACTGGAATAACATTATGTATTTATTTCCGTGACATGAAAAAACTCACATCTAAAATTCATATTTGATATTGGTTAGGATATTTACCAGATTCTTAATACAAGTTATGAAAAGGTCAGCAAGTTTTACATAGAACGTAATTTCTAATTCTAAATCGATATAAAAATACATAGGTACTAGAGAGGAACTGAAAATAAGTAATTTTTCTAACAATCTAGTGTCAAATTTAAATTACATATACATGAGAAAAGTACCCAAAAATATAGGGTTTTTTACATATTTATCAAAAACTAATTCTAAGGTGAGTATTCATTTGAACATTGACTCGAACAAAAATAATGGGGGAAGTGAATAATATAAAAAAGTTTTACCTACTTTTGGGAATGTTCAAACCATCTAACTATAAGCAGAGACACTTCTATGTGACAAAAAACGAATACATTTCGATGCTTCAAATGATCCTACTAAAACCTGGATAATTTCAAAAGAGATTCTGAGAATACATCTTACAGTCAAAATGTGGTAGGAACTTTTTTAGAATTGGTAGGTACTTTATTTGTAGCAAAATGTATGTAAATAAAAAGGCATTGTGAGTAGCACAAAATCTTCGAAATGCTCAAGTGAATATTTACCTTCAAATACGAAAATATTACATATTTCTACTAGATTCCCAATGATAATGACTGCACCCATGGGTTTCTCGAAGAAGATCTTCATCTAATTGACTAAGGTGAATGGGCAAGCACTTAGCCGTATTTGGTACATTAACTGGTTCTATAAACAATAAAAGAATCATCAATCAAAAATACATTTATGATCAAATATTTATAGAGAAAAAACAACTTTGAAGCGGAATATTTAGTTTGATGAAGTCAGGGATATATTTAGACATGTTTGTTGGTTCAGGCAATTTGGGGATAAATGTGGGATTACAATTAATGATAGGGATTCATTATTAACAGTTAACTCTGGGATTATTGGAATTGGATTGTGCTGGAAAACATCAATGTTAAATAAATCGAACCTTTCAAGAATCAAGGGCAATAATAAAGGAATTAGGCCCTATTATAGTATGTAGTTGTAATTCTCAAATACCATTTTGTCGCCTCTTTTTCCACAATTCCTGGCTTGCCTCTGTAGGTTCTCGAGTTCGTTTTCTGTTAACTGGATGAGGAAGGGTGTCCATACGAATACAAAATTTATTCGATTCCTCTGTGTCCATAGTTTCAGAGATTTCGGCATTATTTTGGATTCTTATCGGTTGATAACCATAATAAACATTGGAGGATATGCTGATCGATGCCATTGGATTTCCTTCCTTGGAAACTTGGTGGAGCGGTTTTTGAAAGCCGTTGAACGATAAACTTTCCATTGGAGTCGGATTCGCGATATTCTCACGCATTGTGGAAAATTTTTAGAGCGGGGAATTACGGAACAAAACAATCCGGCAAACAGTCAAGTCAACAACAACCAACTTCACTTTCACTCAAGATACTTATCAAAAGGAGGTTAGATTTTTTAAAAGTTGACATTGACATGACAGGTAATTGACTTCTATTGGCAGCATTGCGGAGTCAGAGCACTAAAGTTAAACGATCCTAGAACTGTTGGAGCAGAGAAATCCCGAAGTGCTGATTTTTAATTTTCCCTTCCAGATCAACAAGTGCATATCATTATTTTGTTATTTGACCAATAACCTCAGAAAAAAACGTATGGCTAACTTCGACAGTTTTGGAATTTTTGGAGTGAGCTCTATTTACTCGACTCGGTGTAGCCGAACGTGAATTAAAGGCGAATCCTCACGGGCGTAATTGACGTAAGCGTAACTAATCACGTGATTTAATTTGTGCGATTTCATTGGCGACTGTGCAGCCATCTTGAATTTTTGACATACGCTGCCGCTACGGCAAAAAGTTAGATTTTGTTGAATTATTCGCTATTCGGCGTAATCGTGGCGGAGTTGTGACGTTTGTTTTTGTAAGCAAAGCTGCTTTCGGGTGCCTCCCTTTGAGCGCTCCCGAGTTAGTCCGAAGTACTCCGGTTACAGTTTAATAGTTTGACCTTTTCGGTTTCAAGCGTTCGAGTGCAAAACGCATGGAGTATGGAGTATGATAGATGTGAAGTGCTCTAGGATCTTCGCACTCTGCACCCAAAAGAGGCTCAAGTTATCACTAGCACCCTGCAAGAATCTCCGATTTTCTGAAAATATAGGTCGTACCCAAAATCTTCGTTGCATTAGTCATTAGTTGCACTTTCTCTTCATATCTTTCCATTACCACGTATATTTCGTAAAGTTCCTTGAGGCGCCTCAGCAAGTTGCTGTTAGAACTGAAAGGACAGCTTTTTATGTTTAACTTAATGCTCCTTTGATACGTAACAAACTTTTACTCCATATTCTGTATTTTATTTTGTCACTATATTACTGTACTAAGAACAATTACAGAAAACCAGAGGAAAAACAACAACAACAAATTGGTAATAGCAGTAGCGCACCCAGAAAATATGTTTGGGGGGGGCCCTACATAGGTTGTGCCTTGTGACTGAAAATAAATAAAAAAAATTGAGGAGTCAAAGTGCCACGCCCTGAATTTTTTACATTTTTTTATACGTGAAAATTCAGTTTGGGAGGGGCGACCTGGGGCTCTCCCCTGGGTGCATCACTTTCCAGGAAATCTGGGAAACTTTGGAAAATGACGATTTTTTTTTCAAATATCCAGAAGACTTTGAGCTTTATCATACCAAAATTTGATTAGAAAAAAACCAAAGATAGCGGAGTCACGATTTTTTTAATCCCAGAGAGACACTAGTAATATTTTTACAATACATACTGTGGCCTGATTTTTGATCTTTTTCCTAAAAATCTAGGAAGCTTTGGAAAATGAAGATTTTTTTAAAATATCCAGAAGCTTTTTAGCTTCAACATACCTATCAAAATTTGATAGGAAAAAACCAAGGATAGCGGAATTACGATTTTTCACTCCCAGAGAAGTGATATTTTTACAATACAGATTATAGCCTAATTTTTAATTTTTTCCTAGAAATCTCGGAAACTTTGGAAAATAAAGATTTTTTTAAAAATATCCAGAAGCTTTTTAGCTTAAACATACCAAAATTTGATTGGAAAAAAGCCAAAGATAGCGGATCTCCGATTTTTTAATCTCAAAGAGACACTAAGGCGGCATTCCGTATCTTAACCAGAGTTACCGATTGGTATGGAGCGGTTCGTCTATAGCAGCGGTTCCCAACCGGTGGGTCGCGACCCCTAAGGGGGTCGCATAGGGTTTTTGGAGGGGTCGCGATGCCAATATCAATATATATTTATCTGCATTAGGGCTCGGAATTTTTAAAATTCAAGTATTCGAATAGTCGTTTGGTATTTTATTCGAATAGTTGAATAATTCGAATAGTCGAATATTCGAATAGTCGAATATTCGAATATTCGAATAGTCGAATAGTCGAATATTCGAATAGTCAAATAGTCGAATAGTCGAATATGTAGTCAAAAAGTCGAATATTCGAATAGTCTAATATTCCAATAGTCAAATATTCCGATAATCATTTATATTAGTTAGTTCGTACTTCGTCGTACTGTTAGTTAAGTAGTGTGCAAAACCACATAATGGAAGATAAATAACTTGATAATTAGTGGACTGTATAATTAGGTGGACTGGATGATCGACTGGATAGGGAACTAAAACACACGCGCTTTTCACTGACACTATATTTACAACAATTTACACAATATTTACACTATTTACAATTACTACTACAAGATGACAAGAAGCCAGAGCTTGCTTAGATGCCCAACAGGGCAGAGCTAGATTATAAAATTTATTAAAATGTGAAAAGGTTTCTGGATGCTTGTTAACGTGGACAAGCTCCAAGCTACACTGCTGCAATGACAAAAATGGCGCGCAATATATTGACAGACATGACAAAATAGACATGACGACAACGCTGCAGTGTTGCAAACTTTATATGTATAAAAATATTTTGCCATCAAAAAGAGATAGCATGATTGTTGGAACATGTTTCCAACATGCTGGGGGGCCTAGAGTTTCACATGAAACCAAGGTAAAATTTTCCAGCAAAAAAAAATAAAAAAATTAAAGAGAAAGTAAGCAACCCTTTTTTTAAAAAAAAGGTATGATTTCAATGATGATCCAGTAAACGAAAACTTAACTAACAATTAAAGCTAAAAACATTTCTGGAACACATAGTATGACATTATGTATGTATATACGAGTATAGCTAATTGAATATAAATATAAATCTAAATGTTTTACAAATATATGTACAGAATTTTGTGAATAATTTTCAAAAATATTATTAACAATTATTGTCATCAATCGGTAACACTGCAATCTTGGTAACCGATCTGAGATAAATACCTTTTTTGGTTTTCACTTCGACAACCCTTACTTTGCCGTCCTTTCCAGGTATTGCTTTAACTATTCTTGCCATTGGCCACTTATAAGAAGGTACATTATCCTCTTTTAAAATGACTAACAAGCCCTCCCTAAGGTTAGGCATCTCATCACGCCATTTTGGCCTATTTTGGAGTTGCGTTAGATAGTCGTGATACCACTTTTTCCAAAAATGCTGCTGCATCTGGACACACAATTTCCAAAACTTAAGTCGACCTTGGGGAATTTCCGTCAAATCAGGGTCAGGAAAGCTTGTGATAGGCGCACCTATCAAAAAATGACCAGGGGTCAAATAGTCCAAATCTGAAGGATCTTGTGACAAGGCTACAAGTGGTCGGGAATTTAAAATTCCTTCTACTTGGACAATAAGAGTATTAAATTGTTCATAGGTAAGCTCATTGCTACCTATGACTCGCTTGATGTGAAATTTTGCCGATTTTACTCCAGCTTCCCATAAACCACCAAAAACTGGAGAATAGCTCGGTATAAAATTAAATGTAATTTTTTCCTGAAGGGAATAATTTTCAATTTTTTCTGTTTCGTTATAAAACTCTTTGATTTTATTCTCGGCTCCTTTAAACGTGGAACCATTGTCGCAGAAAATATTTGCGGGCTTCCCCCTCCGCGAAATAAAACGCTTCAGAGCAGCTAGAAAATTTTCGGTTGTCAGGTCTGAAAGCAGTTCCATATGAATTGCTTTGACTGAAAAGCACACAAAAAGTGCTATGTATGCCTTGGAACTTACGGATTTTCTAATTCGAGATTGCTTAACGAGGAAGGGACCGCAAAAATCTACCCCGACATTTTGAAACACTCTGGCTGAACAGACTCTTTTTTCCGGCAAGGAACCCATTAATTGAGTGGAACATTTTGCTTTGAATTTAAAGCAAATCACACATTTGTGTAGCTCTTTTTTAATTAATCTTATTCCATTTATGAGCCAATAATTGAGGTTTAGGGAACCTAAAACTTGTCTTGGTCCAGCGTGCAACAAAGTTGAATGTTCTTGTATTATAATTAATTTGGTGATGTGACTTTCCTTGGGCAAGATCACAGGATGTTTCTGATTATATGGAATGTTTGAATTATGTAACCTTCCACCCACTCGCAATAATCCATTGCCATCTAGGAACGGCGACAAAGAGTTTAATGAGGATTTTAAAGGGGTATTGGAAAGTAAAGATTTAATGTCATTAGAAAAGTAAAAGTCTTGCTCACATTTTATGATTACTCTAAGACTGTGTTCCAGTTCTGAAAGCTTCAAACTTCCCTCAAGTTTTTCACCAGAATTTTTTCCAGAATTGTGAACAAATCTAAGTATATAGGCAAAAACTCTTTGAAGTCTTCTAAGGGATGAAAAATCTTCAAAAAATGAATTTGGCTTTGTTTTTATGACTTGTGTTAAAATTTTTTCCATCAAAGGTAGGTATCTCGATTGGGGGCAATTTAGCAGCAGAAATAAAATTATTACTTTGAGTAGGTGGAATTGAAACCGATTGAGCAATATTAGTTGCTAAATTACTAGTATTAGCTGGTCCTGGTAAATTAGATTTAGGTAAACAATTTTTAATACTTACAATGACATCATAAAAAAGAGTTTCTACATCATCAATTGAATCATCATAGTTACCATCAAGGCACAGAATTTCAACTTGAATGTCTTTAAGCTTTTGAAAACTGTCCTGCAATATTTCCTTCCGAACTAAAAATTGGTCGGTTTTATACTCACTGTCAGGATCAGATTTGTGATCGGAAATATAACGACTTATTCTAACCATGGAGTCGATTGCTTGCTTTTTCTTTGACAATAATTTATCAATTTGCTTTTTGGTAGCCATATTTACAAAGTTTACAATCAAAAAAATAAGAAAATATCAAAAGAAATCTATAAACAAAATTTAAAATTACCTAATAAATTAGATTTTTTTTTAAAAACTACTTAACAAAACGAAAAACGGATAATTGTTCATCCTTTAAATAAATAATGAAAAAATAGCAATAATTAATGCGAAAAATTCGTTTTTCAAAAATAATGCAAATTCACTCAAATTCACTGCA